GGAGGGAGGGGGAATTGAGTCTGTTGTACCAGACACCAGACCTTGAGAATATGCTGATCTGGAATGGCTCTGTGTCTCATTTGAATCATCCAATAGCTATATTTCTGTATTTCGCCTCATTTGAAAGACTCTGTGTTTCACCTCATTTGAATAACTCTGTACTTTGCCTCATTTGAATAACCCTGTATAGCGCCTCATTTACATTGACCAATGGGAATAGCTCTGTACAATGCCTCATTAGAATTATCCAATAGAATCCCTGCTCCTAGCTTGCGCCTTTTTCCCTATATAAGGACCCCTTTCCCTTGGCTTGGCGCGCTTAGCCAAGTTCGTGGCCTCGCTGATTCCTGGGCGCGGGTCTCCTTCTACGAAAGTATCTCTTCGGGGGTCTTTCAACGTGAACCTAGGTACCCACAGTGTTTTCTAAGATGACCACTAAGAGACTCAAGTATACTAAATGAGAAATTCAGAAAGTGTCATTTAGTAACCAGGGGATCAATTAGTTGTGACCGTGGCTCTAAAGTAGTCCTCGGTGGGCCTGACCTCCTGAACAGTACCATGTATACACTCTCCCACAGCTGGTCTAGAGTGTGACCCTGCTAAAAGCCACATCACATGTGGATCAGATCTCTAGCTGAGGTTTGCTTGCAACTCAAGATTCTCCCACCTTAGCCTCCTGAGTACTGGAATTTCAAAGCATCACCATTCCCAGCTGAGTCTTGAAATAACTGCAATCGCGTTTATTTACTTATTTCTGTAGTGCTGAGAATGAAATCCAGGGCCTCTCACACACTAGGCACACAGACTACCACTAAGCCACATCACCAGCAATTCCAGCTGACAGATTGACTATAACCTTATTTAAAAAATCCTGGGCTAGACCACTGAGGTAGGCCACTAGCTTCCTGACCTTTGGAGACTGAAGGCTAATCATCACTGTTTTAAGCAGCCAAGTCTTACAGTAATTTCTTATATTGAAGTAACAAATACAGTAAAGGCTAGGAATACAGCTTGGTAGTAGAGTACTTTGCCTAGCACATGTTCCATAATTTTATCTTTTGAAGGTGTAGTATATGCACATAACACAAAATAGGGAGAATTCCTATCTCTGACCTTCACCCAGCACCATTTAAAAAAAAAAAGGGCGGGGGGTGGGGTGGGGGGTGGGCAGCCAGGCATGGTGGTGTATGCCTGTGATCTCAGCACCCAGAAGGTAAAGGCAAGAGGGTAATAGCAAGTTCTAGGACTATACAGTGAGTTCCAGGACAGCCGGGGATACATAGTGAGACTGCTTCCCCTCCCCCTCTTCCCCTGAAAACCACTGAAATATAGTAAGTATAAGACATAGTCTGGTAGGCTGAAAAGCACATGAGAATAGACGGAAAAAAAATGGCTGGTTATTTTAAAGGAGTTTAGATTAAAAACAAACAAAAAACCAACCTCATTGTTACTCTCTCTATATGGGTGTTTGGTCTGGACACATGTCTGAGCATTACATGCATGCCTAGTACTCCAGAGGGCTGGGACTGGAGTTATGGATGTGAGCTGCCATACAGGTAATGGGAACTGAACTTGGGTTCTTTGAAGGAACAGCCACTGTTCTTGCTGTTAACCACTGAAACCACTGAGCCATCTCTCCTGTCCCAGGGAGTTTAGATTTCACTGACAGACATTACAAACAAATTTTTGAAACATGACCTTTATGACTTAGCTGGCTGTGGTGGTAAAGCCTGTAATCCCAGCACTCAGGAGGCTAAGGAAAGGATGGAGACCAAAGCTACTCTATATATAGTAAGACCCTATCTCAAAACAAAAGCCCCCAAATAAACAAAAACAGAGGAAGAGATCCATGTGCTTAGTAGTAAAATTATAATGTGTACATGCCTTCAAAGACTCCCTGACAAGACAGGCCCGATGACAAATTTATAGTCCTTGTTTCTAAAGGGGTTGACTAATTACTCTGAACTAGAAACATTTCTTTCATTCGGAAGAACCTGAGCTGTTCAAAGTACCCTTGGGTTTCTCCTCCATTGCTAATGACTTTTCTGGCATCTTCCCCCCAAGTCCCCAATCTGACTTACTCATACTAAAAATCTACAATGGGATTATTCTTCCTTGAACTGAATAATAATTATCCAAGCATTCTTTGCAAGACTCCAGCAGTTCTTGCTCTAGGTCTTTAACTGAAAAGATATCTGTATCCAACACACATTAGATTTTTTTTAAAAAACAGGGTATTTAGCCAGGCGGTGGTGGTGCACACCTTTAGTCCCAGCACCTGGGAGGTAGAGGCAGGCGGATCTCTTTGAGTTCGAGGCCAGACTGGTCTACAAGAGCTTGTTCCAGGACAGCCTCCAAAGCCACAGAGAAACCCTGTCTCAAACAAACAAACAAACAAACAGGATATTTGAGTTGCCTGTACACAGTTAATGTCTTCCTTGTGAAACAAGGTTTTCTCGCTCCACCCTCCTCCACCTGAGACCTTGTCCCTTTCAGGAGTTCTCTCTTTTTCTGTTACTCTTAACTTTCCTTTACCAAGGCAACTGCCTTCTTCTATCCCTACCTATGCATCTGCTTCCACACCCCCAGCCTTGGTTATTGGAGAAGAAAAACCTATTTCTGTACTTTAAGAGTTCTTCTACTTGAAGCCATCTGAACCCTGACAAAGTGACAGCCTCAAATTCCTAGATGTTCATTAGCTTTGCTATTCTAGAATACTGTCTGTGTTATTCTTTTTCTCTAGTTGACTCTGATTCTAGTCTGATTGCAGGGAATATTCTTTAAGTCCTCTCAGCAGTCAAAGAGCTCAATTCCACATTTCCCAAGGCCCTAGATATTCCCTCTGGCTTGTTATGGACCAAACTCAGGACCAGAAATGCTTGGGGCCTCTTCTCAGTGCTCCTGAATGGCACAATAACTTCCAAAATGGCAGTCTTCAATGTCCACCCACTTCCCAGTCAATGGTCCCTCCTGCCAAGACTACAAAGACCAAAACCATAGAGCAGAGTGTGTTCCAAGCCTAGCTGAAAAAGGGGACATGTGAAGATATGACATGTTGTTTGTTCCACCACCTTCCCTGTAGAAAATATTCTACAACATGCCCTCAAAAAATGAAAAAATAAGATGTTAAAAAACAGTTTCTTACAGCCTCTTTGACCAGTTTTCTACTGGATTCCACCACTGCTTCTGTCAGTGTAAATTCTGTTTTAATCATCTCCAGAACATTGATAGCTGATTCCAGGGGTGTGAGCTCAGCCTCCATATCAAAGGAACAGTCTAAGACAAAACACAGTTTTCACTTTAAGCTCTTTCTTAAGGAACAGCAAATATGCCCAAAAAATATAGTTACCTATAGAAGCATGAAGACATCGTAAGGCTCTCATTTGTATAAAGGATCATGCAAACCAGGCATTTAATCCTAGTACTCAGGTGGCAGAGGCCAATCTGGTCTACACAGTGAGATTGACAGTTAGGGCTATGCAGAGAGGTCCTGTCTTTAACAATGATAAATAATAAAAGGACCAAGCAAACCCAGTAAGATTTGCATTTAAGCCAGGTGGAGGTGGCAAATGCCTTCATCCCAGCATTGGGGAGGCAGAGGCAAGTGGATCGCTGTGAATTCCAGACCAGCCTGGTCTACAGCACTAGCTCCAGAACAGCCAGGGAAACCCAGAGCAACCCTGTTTTGAGAAAAACAAACAAATGATTTGCATTTATTTTGCTTATGTGCTTGTGATATGGTCCAAATTCAAATCAACATATTTCATTTTTGTTTGTTTCTCTGTGTAGCCCTGGCTGTCCTGAAACTCCCTCTGTAGCCCAGGCTGGCCTCAAACTTGGAGACCCACCTGCCTCTGCCTCAGTATGTGCCACCACACCCAGCTTCAATCAACGTCTTTTTTCTTTTCTTTTCTTTTCTTTTTAAATGTTTTTCAAAGCCAGGGTTTCCCTGTGTAGCTTTGGAGCCTGTCCTAGAACTAGCTCTTGTAGACTAGGCTGGCCTTGAACTCACAGAGATCCACCTGCCTCTGCCACCCAAGTGCTGGGATTAAAGGCTGCAGGACCACCGCCCGCCTTAAATCGACCTATTTCAAGTGACTAGTTTTCAATACTTTTCAACACAGCTCAATTACAACACACACATTTACTTCTAAAATCCAGAATGAAACATGTTCCTCAGATACAAGGGGCCAACAATGAAGACAGTTTGTTAAGTAGCTGCCAAGTTCAAATGGAGGGTTTGTGTGGGAAGGTGGAGCTTCACTATGGGGAAAAGGGGGGGAGAATGTGTCCTTAAGGATGTAACTTACTTTCAGCAACAAAAATGGGTGTGCAATTAACAGGTGTGTGGGTGTGGAGGGGGGGGGAGCCTCCCGGCAAAAAAACAAAAACAAAAAACACATAAAACCAGCCAAGGAGCCTTAGCTGGAGAAAATTTGAACTAGAGAATTCAAACACCGTGGAATGAAAAGACATCCACGGTACAAACAGTAGTGCACTTTAACCCGGAATCTGTCAGTCCCGGATGTTAAGTTTGAAAATAACAAAACCCTACGTAAGTGAGCCCAGAAAAGAACACACAAAAAAAAATTGCCATACCTAAATTTTCCCCTTCTTCAATGCGCGACAGACACTGCATAACTCGCAGCAACCGGGACACCGTATGCTCCTTCCCCAAGGGCCTGACAAGCAACGCTGGAAAGAAGACATGGTTGACGCCGCGCGCCCCGGACCCCAAGGCATGCCCACCACAGACCTTCCTCCTCCCCGGGGCCCTGGACCGGCTCTCACCCTGCATGATGTCCCGGATCTGCCTGAAGTCCCCGTACCGGCTACTCCGAAAGGCCCGCAGCGCCTCGTGGAAGTAGAACTTGAGCACCCAGCTGCTGC